CACAACAAGAGAAGCCACTGCAATGAGAAGCTCGCACACCGCAACGAAGAGTGGCCCCCGCTTGCCGCAACTAGAGAAAGCCCGCACACAGCAAGGAAGATCCAAACATAGCCAAAAATCAATAAAGTAAATAAATTTTTTTTTAAAAAGAGAAGGAGGTGGGTTCTGAGCATGCTGCACTGGTAATCTGAGGTTGATTCCTCCCCAAATTCTAGGCTCATCTGTTAAACCTGGTTAGCAAAGTGTGAAGGGAAGAAAGGAGGATCTCTAGTAACCTGTATAGATTTGCTAAAAACAAGCTAACCTCATTTTTTGTTCAATTTTAATTTTTTATTCAAGTGTAATATACAAAAGGAACTGTACACATGTCATAAGTGTACAGCTTGATGAATTTTCAAACTGAGTACACATGTGTAACCAGCATCCACATCAAAAAGGCAGCCCCCTGAACCTCTCGTGTGTTTCTCCCAGTCACTCCCCTGTGCCCCCCATGCACACGCTAAGGGAAATCACTGTTCTGACTTCTAGTAGCATAGATTAATTTAGCCTGTTTTGATGTAAATGGATATAAAGGGTATGTACTCTCTTGTGTTTGGCTTGTTCACTGAATACATTTGTGACATTCATCCATAATTTTGTCTGTAGCTGTAGACGGTTCTTTCTCATTTGCTGTTTAGTATTCCATTGTATTCATTTAGCCATTCTATCGTTGATTGGCATTTGGGTTGTTTAAATTTTTGACTATGACAATGGTATAGCTATGAACATTCTAGCATATGTATGTACTAATTTCATTTGAATCATTATTTGATAGCATCATTAGATTTCTAGAGCAGAGACATGTGTATACAGATTTCAGAGAGGTTCTTGGCAAACTCTTGTGATATTCTTGTTGACAAGGTAGAAAAAGGTGGACTAGATAAAAAAAAATAGTTTGGTGGATTCCTGGTTGACGCTGTGGAATAATGACAGCAGAGAGGAAGGTCTATAGTGATAGACTGCAGGGCTCTGCCTATCCTAGTCAACATTTTTATAAGTGACTTCAGTGAAGATCCAGAAAGTTTGCTAATCAGATTTGCAGATTTCACAAAATTGAAGGCATTTGAACTAACTGATTAAAATGAAGGGGGAACTCCATTTCTGATAAATGGAAATGATGCCTAAAAATTCAGAGAGGAAAGTTACTAGGAACAGGTGTAAAGCCCCATATTTGGGATTAAAAAAAAAATCACTTTTAATAGGCCCAAACACAGGGAGAGGGAAAAGCTGATCAGTTTGGGAGCAAAAAAGGAGTTACAGTTGACAAGTTCAAACTGAGACTCCGTAGCCTGCAACAGTAGCTGGAGTTTTCTGTGTGAGTCTCAGTTTCCAGGGAGACACTGACAAAGTGCAATTAATACAGAGGAGTGAACTGGGCCGGTGAGTGGGAAACCATATTTATCACACAAGATGTTGAAGAACATAGGTCTTTGGACTGAAGAGGGAAGACTCAAGGGGAACGGGATGTCAGTCTTTAATGATAAGAAGGGCTTATCGTGATGTGCGAGAGGCTTCAGTTTGATGCTTTGTGGCTCCACAGGAGAGGTCCAGGACAATTAGCTAGAAGTTGCGAGGGAGATGTTTTTGGCTGGGTGGGAGGAAGAGCTATTGGCCTCTTTACAGACGGCATGAGTGGCCTAATAGATTGCTGAGGTTTTTACAGTCCCTGGGAATTTGAAGGAGAAAATGGCTTAAATAGCAGCCTAAGTTGTGTGTTATGTTGTATGTATTTAAAACTAATGGTGCTGGGAGAATTGTAGGCTGAATGTTCTTTTTCAGGGACTGTTTAGTTTGAGCATCTAAACTAAATCTGGGCGTCTGATCCTGAATGGGCCTGCAAGCTTTGTTCACTTCTGGATCAAGCCAGGCATCTGCTCTCCTTGCTTTTAGTTCCTAGAGCTGATGCTGGGCCTTAGTGCTGGAACTAGCCTCCTCCTCCAGGGGCTCATGGAGGCTAGGTTTCATGACCATTCAGGAGCATCTCTTTGGATGATTATAGGAGTGACTTCTTCTCAGCTGCTTCTTCCTTCAAAGCAGGGGTCAAAGCAGGGATGGAGGTGCACCTGAATCAAGGGTCTGAGGTGATTTTCAGCCCATCTTTCTGTGGTCTTGGCCCAGTGTTGGGTGGAGATTGAATTGCAGCTAGAGGTAGGAGGGTAGGGCATCTCTGTCCTTGAGGTTAACTTGCAGTTGCCTCCATATTATTCTAACCTCATGTCCTACCCCCACCCCCTTCCCTGCCTCTGAAGCAGGTCAGGCTCCACTTCAAGAACAGTGCACTTGGCTGGGCTCTGGGGCCACCGGTCAGCTGTATCCGCTGGGAGTGGGGACAGAGAGCCCAGTCAGCACTGCTGCCTGCCATTCCCATTTCCTGCTGCCACGGCCAAGAGGCCCTGGAGGAAGCTGAGCGCTGGGGAAGATGAGGGCCAGCGCTCTTTCCAGAGGATTCCCTTCTTCGTTCAAACCGAACCTCCTGTGCTCAATACAGAGAGCAGATCCGGGCAAGATGGTGGGTCAGTGGCTGAGAACAAAGGCTCAGGAGTGGGGGAGGAGGAAACACTGGTGGGTAAGAGGAAGGATACAGATGGATGGATATAGAAGTAGACTAGAGAAGCTGTAAGGATTAAAATGTAAACAATCCATGTATTTTCTTTTCAGAATTTGTTGTAGTAAAGGATAAGGAGTTGGTTCTTCCTTGGACAGAGCTGAGAACAGAAGCATGTGGCATGTGGTTACAGACTGACTCTGAACCAGAACCAGTCTCTTAATTCTCAAGCCTATCCCAGTTTAGTGTTGTCACCCTGGTGACCCTGAGGGCTACTCATGAATTTTTTTTTAAATTTATTTATTTTTGGCTGCATTGGGCCTTCGTTGCTGTGCGCAGTCTTCTCATTTCGGTGGCTCTCTTGTTGCAGAGCATGGGCTCTAGGAGCGCGGGCTTCAGTAGTTGTGGCACACGGGCTCAGCATTTATGGCTCGTGGGCTTTAGAGCGCAGGTTCAGTAGTTGTGGCGCACGGGCTTAGTTGCTCTGTGGCATGTGGGATCTTCCCGGACCAGGGCTCGAACCTGTGTCCCCTGCATTGGCAGGCGGATTCTTAACCACTGCGCCACCAGGGAAGTCCACCCATGAATTTTAATTAGGGGACCCCATTCCCTTGTGAATATGGTAGCTCCAGTTGTCCCAGATGCTTCTAATCCAACCTGGCTTGAGTTATATTAGTAAGCCAGCAGCAGAGCCCGAGGGTGAGGGGTGGAGGTTATAGGATGGAGAGAAGAGGCAGGAGGCAGAAGTCCAGTGGGGAGTAAAGGAGGGGTGACCGGCTGAGGAGGATCAGCAGATCTGAAAGATTTGCCCGTTTTATGGGATGCTTGTGGAGACTACATGCTTGTGTCTTTATTAACTTAACACTACATTGGCCTGGAGTTATGGGTGCATTTTTGCCCAGCCCTGTGATAAGGTTTGGCTGTTCGTTGGCTTGTTTATTAGGCAGAAAGGCAAGTGTTTGTTTGGGACAGGAATGCCCCCTTTCTGCAAGAGCGGAAAAGAACTTGGGCAGTAAGGGAGGGGGAGACAGAAAGTGAGACAGCTGTTCTGCGGGGCTGCTCTTTCCTGCCTCTCAGGATGAAGTAGCCTCTGGGCCAGAGTGTGACGAGACCAGGACACAACAAAACAGAAGGGCTGGGGACACTGAGGGCCACACCACTGCCAGAACTGCGACAGGGAGTAGTACTTGGGACTGAGTTGGTGGCCTGAAGCAGGCAAGCCCAGCACTTTCTCCTCTGGTAAGGCAGGCTGGCTCTGATCTTGTCTTCGCAGCCCTTGGGAGAACGGCTGTTAAGCCCTCCTTCTAGTGCTCCAGTTGCTGAGCTGGGAAGGAGGGAGCAGTGAAATGATCCACTTTGCCACAGCGGGGAAGGTATGGGGTATGTGGCTGCCTGCTTGTTTAAGAGGCTGGTGGGGGATTGAGGAACATTCTGCTGAGTTTCAGACTTGTTTCTTTTGATTTTCTTCCCCTCTTGAATTTCTTCTTCTGAAGCAGCAGATTATAGCTTTTTTTTGGGGGGTGGGGTAGTAGATTTCTCTGAGATTCTGCTGAAAGTTATCGACCCTTTTCTTAGAACAATGCATATTCTTTGGACATATGTACGTAACACTTTACAAAGAATTTCAGGCCTGTGGAAGCCCTAGGTTAAGAACCCTGCCTCTAAGGGCAATCCATGAATTTTGCTGAAGCTCATCCAAGTAAAGGGATTGCCTCTACCCCAGGATAGAAGGACTTGAGGAATGTTTGTGGCTCTGACTTTTGCATTGTCCAGTCAGGAAAAATGCCCCATCCCCCTTCTGTAGGAACCTCAGTTCCAAGTCTTTCCAAGCATGAAAACAAGCAGCTGAGCTGGCCGGCAGTAGCAGGAAGTCTGGCCTCCAGCCTAATCCTGGCCACACATCCTGACCCGCTAGCCCAGACGTTGATAAGTCACAACAGGACTCATCAAGGTTAACAGTAATCCCACAGCATCAGAGTGCTGGGTCCTGGAGCCCATATAAGGGGATACAGGGCTGGAGAGGGTGAGAGACCATGACTTTTCAGAGCCAACAGCTGGAACGCATCATTAATCCTGTTCCACTACCAGTTGCCTCCTATTGCTGTGAGCACTTTTGCGTGTAAGCAAATCCAGTCGCTTTGTGTCTCTTGTATAAGTGCTGAGGGCGTGTGTGTGTGTGTGTGTGTGTGTGTGTGTGTGTGTTGCTGTGTACACAGGTGCTCAGCAAATGCCTTTGAATGATAATGGTGAGGGCATTCTGGGCAGAGGTTTCCAATGAAGAGCAGGTCAGAGCCCAAACAGTTCTGTCTTTGGCCAAAGGGTCTATTTTGGTGACTGGTACCAGAAAAACTGCTTGGGGGTCTAAGGCCCTCTGGACGGTGGGGCCAGTCACCAATCAGTATTATTTTTCTTTCAGGTCTCTTAACCTTCATTAACTGTGCCTATGTCAAGTGGGGAACCCTGGTACAAGATGTTTTCACCTACGCAAAAGTATTGGCGCTGATCGCAGTCATCATCGCAGGCACTGTTAGACTTGGCCAGGGTAAGAAATAAGAGTGACAGCAACTAATGTCTGTTAAGCATTTTCCATACGCCATACTCCTCTAAGTGACCTCTGTGCATGATTTCATTTAATGGGTACTATTATTATTCCCATTTTATTTTTTTGGCCATGCCCCAAGGCTTGCAGGATCTTAGTTCCCCCACCGGGGTTGAACCCGTGCCCCCTGCCATGCAAGCACGGAGTCCTAACCCCTGGACTGCCAGGGAAGTCCCTGAAGTCCCTAGCTTAAGTAGTGGAGCTGAAATCTGTACCCAGGCAGACTGAGCCCAAAGCCTGTCCTGTCATTTCTCTGCATGCTGCCTCCCAGAGGAGGTCGATCTGGGCAAAAAGGAGCCATATCCCGGGAGCCAGCTTTTGCAGATTGTCGAGCCCAATGCTGTAGCTCTAACTGTTCTCCCCTTGGGAGCGGACAAGGGCAGAAATGAACCTCTTGTACCCATTCCTCTACCAGTTTCCAGGTGTGAACACCTACCCTGCAACTACTCTGTTGACTGGGCATACTGAGCCCTGCCCTTCCTCCACTCCGTATCAGCTGTCTGGGTTAGGAAGGGGGCAGACAGAACTGCATCACCCCTGTTCTCCAGCCCTCTGCTCTGTCGTGGATCCTTACTCTAGAGAGCCACTGGGGTCCTTCCTGTCAAGACCCCTGTGCTGCTCCCTGCACTCTGGCCCATTACTGTAGATGTCTCTCTTCTGCTCCCCATTCTTTCACTGGTACCCTTGCTGCCAAGGTGTTGTAAGCCACACACATTCTCTTATCGGCACATTTTTCCTCTCCTTTACCGGATCACCTTGTAGTTGGGGTGTAGGCCACTAATCCTTCTGCCTTTCCATATTCTCTGGGTTCCAGGAGCCTCGACTCACTTTGAAAATTCCTTTGAGGGTTCATCATTTTCAGTGGGCAACATTGCTCTGGCACTGTACTCGGCTCTGTTTTCCTACTCGGGCTGGGATACCCTCAATTATGTCACTGAAGAGATCAAGAATCCTGAGAGGTAGGTACCTCACCATCAACTTTCCATGGCAATGATAGCCATCATTTATTGAGCTCCTACTGTGTGCCAGACAGCATACCACAACTGGTTGACTTTATCAGTGTCATTTTAATAGACTGGAGGCTGGAGGCCCAGAGAAGTAACTTGTCCATGATCACAGTAGCAGAGCTGAGGTGAACTTTCTCATGTGTTAAAAAAAAATTTTTCTTCACAGGCCTTTTCTCATTTGTTCATGCATTTCTGCATTAATCAAAGCAAGTTGTACCATGTGCTTGTGTATGCTTTAATTTTTTTTTCTTTTTTTTTTTTTTTTTGTGGTACACTGGCCTCTCACTGTTGTGGCCTCTCCCGTTTGCGGAGCACAGGCTCCGGACGCGCAGGCTCAGCGGCCATGGCTCACGGGCCCAGCCGCTCCGCGGCATGTGGGATCTTCCCGGACCGGGGCACGAACCCGCATCCCCCGCATCGGCAGGCGGACTCTCAACCACTGCGCCACCAGGGAAGCCCCTTCCTTTCTCTTCTGATCCCTTCCTTGTTTCTCAAATTCATACTGACTTTGAATTGTGGTATTGTTTGTTTCAGGACACCATTTTTACTCTGAATTGCCCTGTAGTCAAGCAGAGTAAAAAGAACTCTGGGCAGGGAGTCAAAGGGCCTGGACCTGTCTTTCCACTGATTTGTTGGATGACCTTGAGGGAATCCCCTGCCATCTCTGCCTGCTCCGTCTGTAATTGAGGAGGTTGAATTATATGATCTCTAGAGCTCTTCCTGGCTCTGAAATTCAATGATTCTAGGACCTAAGATTTGCCAGGGAGTGAAGTTTCTATAAATTTCTAAGTCAAAATAATAATAATAAACACCTTTTGGCTTTGAGAAACAGAGTATTCCTGATACACATCTAGTGCTGCAACCCTGGGAGCAGATAATAGCAGATAGAGACCTGGGCGGTGCTTCCACCTACAGGACAGAAACTGAATGACTTGAGTATTTGCCCCTCTCTCACTGTGAAGAACGTTTATAAAGATCATGGCTTTATTGGGCCAGAGGGACCTTGAGAAGTCTTTTTCTCTTGGCCTCTGGTTAGGACGGCACTCAAAGCTCTCAAACTGAGTAAGGGGGCGGGGTGCACATATTTCCCAGATTGCTTGCTCAGATACACATTGTTCTTTCTACTGAGGACCTATATTATTCTCTGGCGAGGCTAGATTGCAGTTTCCCTCTATAATTTCTTCTTTCATATTTAACCTTAATACAAATTTTTCAGTGTTGAGAGTCTTAGAGGAGGAATCCTGATACTAAGAGACCTCTAGAGTAAAACAAACAAAACTTTCCTGTGCTATTATCATGCTGTGACACAGTCATCTGTTAATCCTTTTTCCTTTTTTTGTGTAGGCCTTTCTCCGAATGTGATGTTCCTTTCCCTGATGCTCTTTAGTTCTTGAGTTCAGAGCTTAAGCCACTATCCTATCCTATCCTAGGCAACTTCAAAGGCAAAAGCCCTGGGGAATTGCCACGGGAGGCCCCATCCCCGGATCAGTGGGGCGGAGTCTGAGAATGAAAGGACAGTGGGGAGGAGACTGTGGGGCTAATACATCCACTATTCTGTTTGGCTGTAGGAATCTGCCCCTCTCCATTGGCATTTCCATGCCCATTGTCACCATCATCTACATCTTAACCAATGTGGCCTATTACACCGTGCTCGACATGAGAGACATCCTGGCCAGCGAAGCTGTTGCTGTGGTAAAGGATTTTCACTAGCAGAAGGGTGAGGGTGTGTTTGTGGGCTTCAGTATCGTGCTGCTCTTCAAAGTCCCAGAAAGCGGGTAGTCCTTGAAAAGAGTATGCCTAGAGTACTGGGCTTGTGAGGTCGTTAGCCCTGCTGTGGAAGAAGGGTTGGGTTGCTAGTAGGGGGCACGCTTGTCCTTGCCTTCCATCCCCGTTAGGTCCTGCTCATGACTCTTTTCCATTCCTTTCCCTTAGACATTTGCAGACCAGATTTTTGGAATGTTCAACTGGACCATTCCAGTGGCAGTTGCGTTATCCTGCTTTGGTGGCCTCAATGCCTCCATTGTGGCTGCGTCTAGGTATGAGTGTCACCTTTTACTGAGGGGTAAAGTGAAGAGCTAGGGCAGGGCAGGACTTAACGGGACCCAGACTTCAGTCACCGCGATCCCCAAGTGACAGTCACAATGCTTTGGCCTTGTTCGTATCAGCAGCCTCCAGTTCTTACAAATCTCAGTATTGAATTCCATTCCAAATTACTCAAACCCTTTTGAAGGAGGGGATGCCGGAGAGGGAGAGCCTTGTGGCACAAGAACCAGGCCACACCCACGTCCCCCAAGTTTCTCAGCCTCTCCTATCTTACCCAAAATAGGCTTTTCTTTGTGGGCTCGAGAGAAGGCCATCTCCCTGACACCATCTGCATGATTCATGTTGAGCGGTTCACACCAGTGCCGGCTCTGCTCTTCAATGTAAGTGGTCTCAAGACTGGGGCTGAAAGCCAGATTGTACGGGAACTTTAGTAGCAGTAGATACAACTGTTCTTAGCTCCCCAGAAGCTCTAAAGAAGATTCTAACAGAAAAACTGTTGATGGACCATCCACTGTGGGCAAGGCACTGTGCTGTAACTGCTGCAGTGGTTTATTTATTTATTTTGGCTGTGCTGGGTCTTTGTCGCAGCATGCGGACCCTTGGTTGTGGCATGCACGTGGGATCTAGTTCCCAGACCAGGGATCGAACCCGGGCCCCCTGCATTGGGAGCGTGGAGTCTTACCCACTGGACCACCAGGGAAGTCCCTGCTGCAGTGGTTCCTGAAAGAATCCATATTCTCTAAGGAATGGTGACCTCCTCTGGCCCAGGATGAGGCATAAAGTTCACGGAATACACTGTAACGACTGCCGTGGCAGACAGTGATGTAGTGTTCAAGGGAAGAAATGGTCACTGTGGGGGTAGAGGGTGAACAAGGAAAGACTTCCTGGAGAAAGTGAATCTGAAGTGGATTTTTAAGGTTAGGGTTGCAAATGGTAGCGATGGATGGGGCTTTAGGTTGAAACAGCATCAGAAAGTCCGGAGGTTAAGCAGTGTGGAGTTGGGTAGCAGAAGGTAAAAGCTGGAATTGTATGTTGGAGCCATTCTGGAGAGGCTCTGGGGCAAAAGCTATTTGAGGAACTGTTTTGAGCTGTGCTGTACAGAGGATTAACCTGGCAAGGGTTTGAAGAATGGGCTGAAAAAGGCTACTGACTTAATAGGAAAGGAGTGAGGTGTTGAAACTAAGGTGGTAAACAGGGTGGGAACAGAAAAGGACAGTTGGGGAGACTGAGGACTTGACAAGGGGGTGGATTTGTGGGAGATAAAGGGGACTGGCAAGTGCCTTGCGCGACAGGCCTTGAGAGGAGCTGATGTGGGCTTGTGCCTGCAGGGTCTCATGGCGCTGATCTACTTGTGTGTGGAGGACATCTTCCAGCTCATTAACTACTACAGCTTCAGCTACTGGTTCTTCGTGGGGCTCTCTATCGTGGGTCAGCTTTATCTGCGCTGGAAGGAGCCTAATAGGCCTCGTCCTCTTAAGGTAGGACCTCTCCATCCCACCTCTGCTGCACCCACTCCAGGGGATTCTTACATTTATTCAGAAACCTTTGCCCGGAACTTGACGGTGGCTCCGAGTTGAGAGGAAGGGGATGACAAGAACACTCAGTGCTCTGCCGTTCACAGGTGGGGTTTTCTTGGCTGTCCACCCTGAGCTGTCTAACCTCCACTTGTTTCTTCTGTGCCCTTAGCTCAGCATTTTCTTCCCCATTGTCTTCTGCTTCTGCACCATCTTCCTGGTGGCTGTTCCACTCTACAGTGATACCATCAACTCCCTCATCGGCATCGGCATTGCCCTCTCAGGCTTGCCCTTTTACTTCTTCATCATCAGAGTGCCAGAGCACAAACGACCTCTTTGCCTCCGCAGGATTGTGGGTAAGCCTTGGGTCCTCAAGTCGGCTCAGCTATTGTACGGCCTGGTTTTTTTTTGGCTTTTTCTGCAAATCTAGTCTCCCAAATCACCTTCGCCATAGCTCCTACCTGTTGTTGAGGCTTAACTGTAATTGTCCCCTCGGGCCCAGCCCCATTCAGTGCCACCTGAACTCAGCCCAGTTGACCTCTTCTATTTTGACACAAACTTCTCTTTGTAGCATCTGCCACATGGTATCTCCAGGTCCTATGTATGTCAGTTGCTGCAGAGATGGATTTGGAAGATGAAGGAGAGATGCCCAAGCAACAAGATCCCAAGTCTAACTAAACACCACGAGAAATCCTGAGATTTGGGCAGCAGGGGCCTCACCTCCTACTGGCTGGAGCCAAGGAAGCTGAAAAGCTCACTTCTTTGGAGGCGTCTGTCCAGAAGCCTCTTAGGCAGCTTCAACAACCTCTGAACTTGCTTTCTGAGAGATGGAGAGTAATTTATTTGTTTTGCTACATATTGTTCCGTATTTCTTTTAAAGGGACAATAAAGCAGACTGTGATGGGGAGCATGCCAGGTGTGGGCTTGGATGTTCCACTGGCACATTCCCACGTGTTAAGACATCCACTCACCTCCAGTGTGCCTGCCCACTCCTCTTTCCCACTGAAAGACCCAATAATGCTCCAAACTTCCCGTCTCCTTTAGAGAGACGTCAAACTGTCAAAGGTGCTAGACAATAAAAGGGTATGTTCCTGAGCTCTGAATGGCTTCATTTTTTTTTTAAATTAATTAATTTATTTTTAGCTGTGTTGGGTCTTCGTTTCTGTGCGAGGGCTTCCTCTAGTTGCGGCGAGCGGTGGCCACTCTTCATCGCGGTGCGCGGGCCTCTCACCATCGTGGCCTCTCTTGTTGTGGACCATAGGCTCCAGACACGCAGGCTCAGTAGTTGCGGCTCACAGGCCTAGTTGCTCCGCGGCATGTGGGATCCTCCCAGACCAGGGCTCGAACCCGTGTCCCCTGCATTAGCAGGCAGATTCTCAACCACTGCACCACCAGGGAAGCCCCTGGCTTCATTTTTATATAGTGTCTCAAGGACAGCTCCCATTAGCCTGGCAGGAAGACTGAAAACAATCTTACGCTGGGAAGAATCTGAGCATTTCTTCTCTCTTGAGCCATGAAGGCTGATGCAACCAGTCTCTACACAAGAGAACACCTAAGCTGCTGTAGCAAAATGCTAGGTTGTTCGGTAAAAGCTTTATCAACTTCCTCTTAATTATCACTAAAAGCTTATGCATATCTACTTCCTGAAGAATATTTTATAGGTTATCTTGGGGTAAATGAATGTGTTTCCTCCAGATACAGTCTCCACTTACCACGCATACCTCTGACCACAAAGCAAGTACGGACGGGACAACACATCTAAGCCCTTAATGCCAGGCTACAACACTGAGACGCCTCCTAAGGGCACGGGCCAACAAGAACAATCATCACCCAACCTATTCTTTTCTCTGAAGCACTCAGTCCATTTCCCTGTTTAATAAGTGTCAGGGAGCAGCACGTAACACGGAAGTTTACTAACTCAGCAGATGGGAAGATCACTTGGCTCCCCAGTGTTCTTTTACACTTAGGTGGAAGAGTCTGTAGCGGAATCCACTTTTAAAATGAACATCAACATGTCCCACAGTTTCTAGGTCTGAGGCAAGGACCCAGCATCAGTTCTTGTTCTAAGGCTGAGTCTCTCAAGCGAGAGAGTTCCTGCCAGTATGAGCAGGGAAGAGAATTCAGCCAAGTGTGTCACTCCAGGGATGCTTTGACTTTGGTTTGTTGCTGCTGCTATTGGGGGTGTTGGGAGGTCCATTCTTTCCATGCTGTAGCAGAGGGTTGTGGGTAAAGGTCTGTCGTAAGGGACCTGGGGGAAGGAGAAAACCAATCTCGATGAACAAAGGAAAGGAAGAAACAAATGACAGAATTTAGCCTGCAAGTGTTATTTACCCCTGGCTGCTAGCTCCAAGTGATTCTGCATGCGTCGTTCACGCTCCTGTAGCTGATGTGCCATTTCGGCATTCTTCCAGCCTGTGTAAAAAGGATTAAGGCAGTTTGGTCGTGTACCCACTTCTAGGCCACTCTCCCCAGTTCCTATTCACGGAGGACAGGCCCTTACCTCTTTTGAAGCTCTTTATGAAGCCTTCCTGGGGAGGTAATTTGTCTGAGTCATGCACAACACGCTGGGGGATTTTAAGTACAGTGCGTACAGCTGGAATACGGAGGCAGGCCACCTGGCCCAGGGAAAATATGTTGGAGGAGAGCCAGTACATGAACACTGCCTGGATGAGAAGGAAGAGAAGGTACTCAGAAGCTGCGTCCCTGGGCAGCCTGCCGGGAGACTTGGAGCCAGCCCCTAAGACATTACTTACTGAGGGGAAATGGATAGTTATGGGCAAGACTGCCAGGGGCATCAATCTGATAAAATTTCTCATCCACTGAAGGTCAGAACTTTGCACGCCAGTTTCAGCACCTAACTGCAGGAAAAAAAAAAAAAAAAAAAAAAAAAAAAAAGGGGAAGAAAAGTAAATGCATGGCAATTTTAGTTGAATGTGGCTCAGATTTCTTACCCATCAACTCTATTTCTCCAGGGAGTGAAGACTGACCGTTCTATATAACTACTTTCCCCTCACTCCCCATTCTGCAGGCCTGGCACTCGGCGAACCTGGGCTTACCTCAAGGACACCCCACATTGTAGCAGTGACCACCAGAGGTAACATGTAAGTGGGGTCAGATAGTGTGAGATCCTGGAACCACCAGAGGCCACCTGTCTGCAGGCTGGGCACAGGAAGGTTAGCCATTTCTCTCAAGGCAATGAAGAAGGAGATGAAGATCGGGGCCTATGACACAGGAGAAACAGTGTCAGGACCCTTTAGTAGAAGGGACATTTTAATTACTCTATTACTGAAACCCATGTAGCATAGTATCACCACCACATGCTTTTTTGGGGGGTCTAGGGCATGGGAAACACAGAGGAGTAATCTGATTGGTTCTGATGAAGTTAAAGAAGGGAAATGTTTTTTGCTCACCTGAGTCAGAGGTAGAATGAGAGGTCTGAAGAGTTTAATATCATGCTTTTTCTGGTAGAACGTCATCTCCGAGGAGGCCCTGTAAACTGTGAAGGGAGTGGAAGCTAACAGCTGGGCTAACAGCTAGGTTGGAGGAGGTGACCATCCTCATCACCTGGCCCATAAGATTTCTAACTGACCCTGGCCAGTCACTGGAAGCATTAGGCCTAAGAAGCAGGTAAATCTTAGAACTCGCCCAACTGTAGCAACTCCTGATTTAGGCTGTTCCCCCAACCTGAGCTGAATGTCAGGGAAAGCGCAAATGTGGTCCTCACCCATGCTCATTCTGCAACTGACTCACGTTCAGTATGGTTTCCTGTCAACTTGGCCTCTCTGATTCGAGCGGAAAACTTCTGAATCTCTGGCAAGTGGTTGTGGATGTTAGCTGCCTCTCGCTGGCCCTTCACGATGAGAGGAAATACCAGGCAGCGCGCAAGGACTGTACCTGGAAAACACGAACTAAGACTGGAGTGAAATTCAAGCCATTCTGCAGCTAGAAGGCTGAAGGTTTTTAGGTCCTCACTGAAAGGGTCTCCTAGCCCAGACTTTTCCACCCTGTGACTCGTGCCCAAAGGGCCCCAAAACAACGGGTACGGGTATGACAGTTCCTTCGAGGCTCAGTCTTCTGCTTTGACGTCAAAAGTCTGGCATTAACTTCTCTAGGCAAATGACCAGGAATCTTGTTTCCTTGAACAAAAAGGTGACAGAAGCCATTTTTGTAGATCAATGGTTTCCAAACTTTTCTATGATCAGTGGACTCCTTTTTTCCCCAACTCTAAGTGTAACCCCAATATACATAACAAATAAAATCAAGCTGCCCTGGGTGAGGAGGTAGTCTGACTACAGGATTGTTCAAGCTCTGGCCTTTGCTTTGCTCAGAAGCACTTTTACAGAACTCTGGGGCTCGCAGGAATGAAGTTTGAAAGCCACTGTCCTAGAAATGCCTGCAGTAGGAGGTAATCTGGTGGCCTACTGCTTTAGCTCCCTCCTATTTCTTTTCTTACACTTCACATTTCTTGATCATTTCAACAAATATTTATTTAGTTGATGGTATCTGTGGGTAAGCAAGTGGGCCTGGGCTGAGAAGAGACCAGGGGGAGATACAGGTTTAGGCTTTATCAACATTATGATGAATGGTGTGAAGTGGACAGAGAAGGGAGCTAAGGATGGAACCTGGAATCCCAGCACTAAAGGGGCAGGTAGAGTACTGAGCAATGGAGATGGGAGGGTGTGGTCAGAAAGACAGGAAGAAAATCTACAAAGATTGTCGCAAAAGCCAAAGGACAGGGCTTCCCTGGTGGCACAGTGGTTAAGAATCCGCATGCCAATGCAGGGGACATGGGTTCGAGCCCTGGTCTGGGAAGAACCCACATGCTACGGAACAACTAAAGCCTGTGCGCCACAACAACTGAGCCTGCACTCCAGAGCCCATGAGCCACAACTACTGAGCCTGCATGCCACAACTACTGAAGCCCGTGTGCCTAGAGCCCGTGCTCCGCAACGAGAAGCCACCTCAGTGAGAAGACCGCGCACCTCAATGAAGAGTAGCCCCCGCTCGCCGCAACTAGAGAAAGCCCGCGTGCAGCAATGAAGACCCAACACAGCCAAAAATAAATAAATAAAGTTCTAACCCTAAGCCCCCATTTCCTCTACTGTTGTACAAGATATATCCCCCTTACATGCAGCAATGGCCCCCCACCAAGGTAGGCCTAGGTTAACATGCATAAATTCCAGTAAGTTCTGGATCAGTCCCACTGGGGTGTATGACCCCAGCCCAAGCTCAGTGAAGCTCTGTTCTGCAGCAGCCAGGATGATATCTGCAGTGTCTCCAGAAGCCACCTCAGGTACTGCTGTAGGTGGGGGAGTTGCAGGAATGACCGGAGGGGCCTGAACCTGTGGGGAAAAAGGAGGAAAAAAAAAAAAAAAAAGCCAGGCGTTATATTCGGGAAGGGAGGGACACACACATAGAAATCGATGTCCCTCTTATTATAACCAATACTGGGGTACTCCCTTGACTCCCTGTTTCTCGTTCTCCCAGGGTAGCCTACATTGTCATAGAATTCAAAGCTTAAAAAGAACATTTTATGCCAGGAAGTCAATTAAAAAGTACATTATTTTCCTGGATTTTGTAATGCTTGTGGTATCTGTCAGCTTTTAAAAACCATTACTTTGTAAAGATTTCTTATTCTAAATAAATATTCCCACTCATATTTTTTAAGAAAGGATATTTTATTTTCCCCTCTAGGCAGAAAGATAAGTTACTCAAAATAAGACTTCATGATTCTCCTTCATGTTGGGAAGTTATTTCTTGTGCATTTTCCAAACTTCAGTCATTTGAGTATCACTGGCACGATTCTGCATACACTGAAACTATTATAATTTTTCTTTAAACAACTCAGTTTTTAAGATCAAAAATATCTACTTGGTCTCATCCTGAGAAATATTAATGTCCATGAAATCAGGGATATACAAGTTATAATCAAAGATATACAATTATAAATTGTGTCAACTGAAAAAAAAAGCACGACCTAAAAGTTGAGAACTGTGTGTTATTTGGGGCATTACTGAGGACTTAAGTGCAGGACAAAGCCTCTCAGCTGTGAGGGACTGTTCCGAAGAGGTAAGGGAGAAGCCAGGATGTATATG